TTTTTATTTGAAATGTTTTTATACTCTTTATACTTTCTTTATACTCTTAACTTTCTGACTCACAGAGCACTACATAGGCCAACAGTCTTGTTAGTACTCAAGACCTCAAAGTCCTGAACACAAATAATTTCCCAGGTTTAGATCAGAATTTTAAATCATGAAAACAGTCTCTTACACTGCATGTAATATCATGTGTACCACACAGCATAAGCATGTACCACCAAGGCACATCCAGAACAAGCTGGTGGAAATCAGGCCTGACACCCTTATCTTCTTTTGGGGAGCTGTTCAACTTAAATAGACTATTAAGTGGACCATAGGAATCCAAATGTGCAGATGTGGGAGAGTGGCATTTAAGTTTGCAGAAAAGCTGGCAAAGCAAAGGTGATGTAAGCTCTGTTTCCTCAGACTAGATTACTCAGAAAGTAGCAGGTTTGGGGCTCTTCTGAAGTAACCAGGGGAATGAAGTGAAACCTTGTCCAAGCCAGTACATTCCTGTAAATGCTTCATGATCAATGTTCATGAATTTACAAAACAGTTCGGACAAAACAGTTCCACCAGAAATTTTTATGTGTGGATTTTCTGCGCAGCTGAAGCCCCTAATAATTTAGAAATGATAAAAAGCCAAGTTGAAATCCAAAAGCACCAGTGCTGGGATTCTGCAAGTAACAGAGGCTCGAGGGTTAATGTCATTGCAGGTGGTAACTAAGTATGATATCATGGACATAAAAGTTAATATAAAGATATCAGCAGTCTGTCCCTTCATGGCATTTTTCTTTAGTTTACAGACCAATTAATGTAGGGAAATGTAGCAGCCTTTACTCCTCTAAGCCATTTGCAGTATTACCTCACTTTCTGAGAAATACACAAGAAGACAGAATTAACCATCACAAGACACATAGTATGTTCTGACTTTCACAAAGTTTCACTGAGGGACAGAGGGTACTTTTTTTCTTGTTGAGAGGCACTTAGTTCAGAATAGCTGAAAAATCTGATGCTTAATCACATCATCTGGTTTTCCAGAAAGCATGATGCAGAGCTGGAAACTCTGATCTCCTTGAGGCCTATAAAACACAAAATAATAAAAGGACAGAGGAACAAGGAACAAGGGTTTGTTTGGTTGGTTGGTTGGTTTGCTTGTTTTTTTGTTTGGGGTTTTTTTTTTATGGTAGCTTACAGTGATACAAGTATGGAATGAGGCTGAACACTCAGAGAATTAGTGGCCAAATGTTACAGAGTACATTAGAGTACTCTAAAAGTTCTGCACAGACAAAAAGCAACTGATTTTGAAAAGAAGGTAAGCAGAGAAATGAGGATTATGTCCGGCACAAAATGATTATTTCTTCATTTTCTTCTCCCCCTATCATTTATCTCCACCTGCAGCTCCTACCTTACCTGCAAGGCTGCCCTGACTTTCCATCAGGGCACAGATCTGCAAGCCCAGATGAGGTATTGATTGTGGCCTCACCTGGAGTCTTCCCTCCAGTGCATGGAGGTTTAAGTAAGTTCTCTGATTTCTTATACTCTCCTGTTTCCGTCCCATGTTCTCCTCCAATCCCTGCTTATTCCTGTATTAGAGCACACGTTCCCACCCACTGCTTTCATATATACTCAATTAAAACCTTGCTAACTTTTCTTTCTGTTATCAGC